ATTGGAGACAAGGATAATAGTTTGTTTGAAAGAGAAAAGAACAGGCTTTGAAGTAAGCCTAAAAGCGTTTAACTAGAAATAGTATTTCGAAAGTTATTAAGCACAAAAGATGAATTGCGTTTATTTTGATACACCCTGTAGATATAATTAATGAAATCCAGTCAAACATGGCAAACAAACTGTATACTTGTGGCATCTTTATCGATCTGCAAAAAGCTTTTGACACGGTTAATTATTCTATACTACTAAAAAACTGCAACACTATGGAATTAGAGGTGTAGTAAATGACTGGTTTTCATCATATTTATCAGGTCGTATGCAAACAACACAAATTGGCCAAAATATATCTGCCAAAGAAGAAACCTTGTGTGGCGTTCCTCAGGGGTCGATCCTAGGACCTTTGCTTTTCTTAATCTATATAAATGACATTTATAACTCTTCAGAAAAGCTGAAGTTTTACTTATTTGCAGATGATACAAATTTGATATATGCTGATAAAAATTTAAAATCCTTAGAAATCGTTGTTAACAATGAACTTTCTAAAATTCATAATAGCGAATAAATTGTCTTTGAATATTGATAAATCTAACTACATTATTTTTCATCCTTATCAAAAACGGCCAGATTATGTGGTGGATCTGAAAATTTATGATATTCACTCAAAAATGTATGCTTTCTTAGAACGTAAAAATAATATTAAATATCTTGGCATTTTAATAGATTGTAACCTCTCTTGGAAATATCATATTGGGTATATCGCCTCTAAAGTTAGCAGACTGATTGGTATTATTGCAAAATTGCGGTTTTTTGTTCCAGTAAATACATTAATAAATATTTATAAGTCCCTCATTTTACCTCATCTTACATACGGAATTGTTTTGTGGGGTCAAGCTGCAAAATTGATAAAATTCTTAAACTTCAAAAACGTGCTATTCGATTAATATATTCTGCACATTATCGGTCTCACGCAATCCCCCTCTTTCAATCTGCAAGTATTTTACCAATAAACTTGCTTTATATTAAATCAATATCAATACTAATGTACGACATATCAAAAACAAATGTCCCTCCAAATATTTCCGCGATGTTTTACTTCTCTTGAAAAGATACACGAATATAACACTCGATCTTCTTCAATGAAAAATTAGTATACAGGTTCTGATTTACAAAAAAGATTTTTCGCAAATACGGGAGCTAGAGTTTGGAATGTGGTTCCTATGGAATTACGTGAAAACTCAAAACATAATTTTCTGAAAAAAATGCATGATAAATTTCTCCAAATGTTGGTAATGGAAGATGAATATTGGAAAAACCAAAAACTGATTTTAGTAATATATATCTAAATTTAAGATCGTTAACTTTAAATTACGGATTTCGGTTTCCGCTATTGTCAAAACTACTTGCGGTAAAGCATAAATATTTTGCACGTTTCGACTTCGACACCCTATTTTACTATATTCCAGCCTCTTTCTATATGAAATATGGTAACACTTTGATTATTATTTGATTATTCTTTATTTATTAAGATGCTTAATATAAACTGCTGTCCATCTCGACTAGCTTTTGCTATTTATGGACAGTAGCCTAATGATGTAGCAGTTACATTTAATTTTTTAATAAAATCTTATCTAATCTTAAAATCTTATATTGGGCATTTCGGCTAATATATCTGTATTGAATTTCCCCTTAGGAAACATGTTCTGAAGCAAAAAGATAACACTAGCGTTTCTATGACGTCCCTGGGTAAATAATCGAGCTACCACACGACTGTCTGTCGCTTCGGTCATCAAATCATCCAGTATGATTACATTGTTGTCTCACTCAGATCCTCGGACAACTCGGGCAAACCTCTTTGAAATCGGATGCTTTTCGCAAGGGACTTTTTAACTGATCGTAACGATCTTGCCATTGATCATTGTAGCACCAATGAATCCGAATACTTCTCTGCTCCTCGTACACGATACGATTGTTTTCCAATATTTGTTGGACAAAATAAGTTTTCCCACTTTGGCTCGGACCCACGACCATTAGCGAAAATTTATGGCAGAAGTTGAATTCTGGATAGGGTTTGGTGGTCAAAGATGTTGTAACTTTCGATACGGTTTTTGTTGGTTTTAGTACAGACCTTGTTTTCTTTTGAACACATTTCATTTCTTTTAGTATATGTGCCGGTCGTATGGGCAGCAAACTTGAGTTGTGGCTGTGCGGTGCTGAGAACCTCGCCCTTCCTAACCACTTTTTCCTTTGATCTCCGTATAAGTTATGCACTTGGCGCAAATGATCACTTATATATAGAAGACAAGGCTTGTTACTGAGAGGACAGTCTCTTTTGTGCTTATAGGGCATGTTGACACTCTGAAAGTTCAATCATAAATGACCGAGAATAAATGGTTTGAAAACATTTATATATATTTTTTTACGGCGACATGTGGGTGTGATGTAGGGTCGATGTAGGGTCGATGTAGGGTCGATGTAGGGTCGATGTGGGGTCGATGTGGGGTCGATGTAGGGTCGATGTAGGGTCGATGTAGGGCCAGGAGTATAGGAGGTAGGAGCCATCCAACAAATATTGGAAAACAATCGTATCGTGTACGAGGAGCAGAGAAGTATTCGCATTCATTGGTGCTACAATCAATGGCAAGATCGTTAAGATGAGTTAAAAAAGTTCCGTGGGAAAAGCATCCGATTTCAAAGAGGTTTGCCCGAGTTGTTCGAGGATCTGAGTGAGATTAATACCCGTTACAACAACGTAATCATACTGGATGATTTGATGGCCGAAGCGACAGACAGTCCTGTGGTATAGCTCGATTATTTACCCAGGGACGTCATAGAAACGCTAGTGTTATCCTTTTGCTTCGGAACATGTTTCCTAAGGGGAAATTCAATACAGATATTAGCCGAAATGCCCAATATCTTGCTCTCTTCCGAAGTCCTAGTGATAGGAAACAAATTGGAATTGTTGGAGAACGAATGTTTGATAAGAATAGAGCATTTTATGAACGTCTATTACAAAGAGACTGAAAAACCGTTTGGATACTTGTTGGTGGATAACAAGCCTGATACACCAGCAGATAAGCAAGTTCTTGGGGACCTGTTTGGCGACTGCCGTGTTTATCTCTTCGCCACCCAAACTAAAGTGAACAGTACTAGTATCGAGCCCACACCGGTCGAAACCAAACCTAGAAGGAAACAACTTAAACATCAGAGGCATATTACCTGGTCGGATGCAACTATCTCCGAATGGCAAAACTACACCAAGGAAGCACAGGTGGTCCGTAACATTCCCGAAGGATATGTTATCACAGAGATGTATAAGTCATCGCGCAATATTTTTAATCCTAGCCATCCGGGTGTCTACATCGGCGGAGAAAATTATTGGCCTGTCAAAATAATGAACCAATCGGGTCGTATGAAGTGGGTGAATCTGCACGAAGACGAGCCAACGGTCCGAACCTTTGTTAAAGAAACCATGGCGAATGAATAATTGAACCAAACGACTCTTATTACAAAAAAATTTAAATTGTTATGCGTAATTTAAATAAAATCAAACACATTATGCTCTAAGAAGTAGACCACATTAACTTTGTAAACGTCTCGAAGAAATAAATGTATTTTAAGACTGAATTCTTGTGTAAACTTTTGGCTGCAAAGCGCTCTTGTCTTGCCTAAATTGCTTTCTCTCTTCCCGCACGGATAACCCGCGACGCCCGCGCAATGAATATCCTAATCTACCCGTATTTATCCACACAGTAGAAAAATGCAAATCTCTGATAAAAGTTAATCCTTTAATTAGTTTCACCCTAACAACACATAGCAACCGGTGTGCTTTAATATAGCTTAAATTTATTAACCTTATCCGATCCGAGTTTTAGTACTTTAAAAAACTACCACTAAAATATAGAAATCGCTTGACAATTATATATCTACGTAGGGTCCGGAAACCCACATATTCTTTTTGGGCCTTAAGACTAATAAACATGGCGGCTCGCCACGGTGTTCCGTCCGTCTTATTTTTATTTTTGCCCTTGATTATGATTTACATGCTTTTTAATGCTACAACTCTATGCCAGAAAGCGTTGTTAAACAAAGAAGAGTATCGTCCTGGATCATCAAGAGTCTTTAAATGTTCAAAACGGAGATTTTTAAAGTCAGTTGTGCAATACACTACAAATGGCATCTCGACCTTCAACCCAACTCATACAAATATTGAGCTGCTGATTTCTGGTGATGTAGAGCGAAACCCAGGTGATGGCGTTGATAATTATGATGCTACACAAGTAAAGTTGCCGGATAAAGGCCTAAGAATTGGTCAATGGAACGTTCAGCACTTAACAGACTCGAAGTTTGAACAGATAAATTTAATTTTGAGTACATGCAATAACATCGATATCTTATTCTTATTGGAAACATTTCTTAAGCCTTCGAAGCCTGATTCAGTGTATAATATTCCTGGCTACAGTTTATATCGGAAAGATAGACATGGGGCGAAAGCTGGTGGTGGCTTATTGATGTATGTTGCTGACAGAGTCAAAGCGAAAAGAAGATACGAGCTCGAAGATAACTTCGTCGAATCATTTTGGTTCAATGTGTGCCCTCATAACTCGAACAGACCAATTTTAGTAGGGGCTCTTTACCGTCCACCCTCTGCAAATGCAGACGCTGACTTAAATATCGAAAATCATATTGAATCAGTGTATCTAAAGAGTAAAGAGATAATTTTGGTCGGTGATTTCAACATCAACTATCTGGATCAGAGTTATTCTAAGCATCGATTAGCTAAGTTTTTTAAGGGTCTGAATATGTCTCAGCATGTGAAAGTTGTTACAAGACCAGCTAGCGAGTCCTGTTT